ATTTTCCTTAAATTCACAAATTTCCTTGAAAATCATGTAGATGCAAGGTACGCAATCGCCGTTGAACAAAGACGAGTACTGTCTCTGCCACTTGGCTACGGGCGACATCTTGCGCGCTGCTGTAGCTGCAGGCACCAACATAGGCAAAAAAGTCAAAGCCGCGATGGAGTCGGCGCACTTGTGACCGACGAGATTGTCGTCAGTATCATTAAGGACGCCATCAAGAGTTCGAAATGCCGTTGTAGCTTTATTCTTGACGACTTTCCATGAACGGTCGTGTAGGCCAAAAAGGTGAGAATTAGAGGAGAAACTGACGAGTGTCCAAGTTGCAACGCAGCGGCTGACCATAGTTCCCTCTTTATGTACGTGATTCTGTGTAGCTCGACGAGATGTTGACGAAGGAAAACAGCTCGGTGGATGCTGCGACCAGACGTATGGAGTGACGGCTCGTGATTGTGGCATCCATTCATCACTTTTTGCTTCCAATTACCCCCTTTTTTTTAATAAAAAGTTCCACTTAATAGGAACGGGCAATCAATTCGGCGTGATCTGGTCTGGCGTTGGCGCTTGTTTCCAACCTTTGGTACGTTTTTGGCACCTCGAACACTTTTAAGGTAGAAACGCTTTCACGCAATTGAGCTTTTAATCGTCACAGCATACATAGCCTTGATCACGTGCGAACGTCTACACAGTATCCATAAGTTGCTCCCGACTGGCATACTCAACCTCGGGAGGAGGAAGCAAGTTATTGCGTGGTGCCCTATCAGTAAACGCTGAAGGAGCTAGACCACAGGCGTAAGCGGCTTTTTAGTTATTTCTTACGTATTACTTGCCAATTTATGGCCTAGATCATCGAGTAATGCCTTTGTCAGAACACAAATCTTGAAATGAATCGGGATTTTGATGTAAGATTTTAAAGAAAAGGTGTGAATCTAAGGAAAAGGGGTGTGAATTTAGCTATTCCCTTTAAATATTACTGTAACATAAGGTCCCATTTAAAAAATGTTATTTTTCGAACATCTATGCTTCAGAAAAAGTTTTGGTACTGTAAAACGATGTAAAGTGCTATTTAAACACGCCTAAAGAAGTCTCTTATTTTAGGCCAAACCAAAATTGATTTGTGCGGATCGCCCCTATTTCGTACTTTATTCGTTGTAGTGACTTGATAAAAGTCTACATTATACTATCCGGTTGCAGCCCGAATGTCTTCAACAATTCAGCTGGCTTTTGAGCATCTAAGACAGGAATATAGGCTGATCCTGGCTGTCATACTGTATATCATCAGGCTGAGTCAGAAGGTGGCATCGAATGTAATCATCCACCTCTGGAAAGTACGATGTAATCTACTCAGCAGGGGAATTAAATAGATTGCGGATATCTGTCGGCTTAGTATACTTGAAGCGTCCAATCTAATATACTTCTTACATAATTCATTTATTTGCACCGCCTCTCGAGGACTGGTAAAGCATCAGCTTGGTTGGGCCGGATATTGCAGTGCCGGAAACAGTTGTGAATAGTCTCAATTCGGACATCGTTAGCCCATGCTGAGACTGAAATTTGGATAGTTTGAAGGATGTCGATCTTTGCCGGCTGAACTACACCATTGTCAAGATCCTAAAGGAGCTTACGGTTAAATCTGCGCGAGTAGTATGCTTTGAGGTTTTGTATTATTCCCTGGTCACAAGACTGAAGCTTCGATGTCATGTTAAATGGATGGTAGCGGATTGCCGTATTAAAAAGTGTGATCCGCTGGGGCAGATCAGCAAGCAAGACGTGTGAGCTGCAATTTTCCAGTATCATCAACACCTTGCGGTTTGCCATCCTTCGATCGAAGTCCCTCAGCCACTTTAAGAAGATGACATGTGTCATTCGGACCTTTTCGCTGCTGCGATACTGACAGCCAAGGTTTTGAAGATTTACATGGCGAAATCAGCGAGGAGTGGCGTACAATGATCCACAGGGGCATATTGACGGACCCATAACCTTTGCAGCAGACAGCCACAGTAATCCGCTCCTTGTTTTGCTTCCTTCCCTTTAACTACCGCGTTGTTAATGAATTGTCAGTCTTATACACTAAGAATGCATTAGCAAATAAAAGACAATCAGATATCTTGTCCTTTGCAAAGAGCTTACCTGCATCCGAAAGGACATGCCAGTCTCATCCATGTTTTAGATATCCTTCCATTCGTACTTATTAAAGAATCTTACGTGGGGAAGGAAGTGCATCCTCAAAACGACCATGCATCGATTTGCTCTCTCCGAAGCGGCGATATAAGCGTAGTCCGTTGCGAGCATTAAAGGATTCCAGCCGTCCATTTGAAAACCGAAATGGCTCATGTTATGGATAAAGACGACTTAAAGTCCAATCGGCATGATTACAGAAAGGTTTTTGCTGAGCTCGATGCAACTTTGGTAGGCAGTGAACCAATCTAGCATGGCTGATTTTGCTAGCAATTACTTGACTGAACGCTGACGTTCAAAACTCATGTTGATTAACTATGGAAGCCGGAGAAGGTCGGCCTACCTCTTCAGCAGTTTGGAGACTGTTGCCTGGCTGACCCTTAGCTGATGGTTATCCTGTAGTCATTTGACAAGATGATCCTGAGTTAGTGCCGGACACCGTCCGTCATTGTGGTGTGGCATGCCCCTCACAGAGGCATTGTTGGTGTGCTGCTGAGTTGTTCTAGCGAAATTATGAGGAAGGCCTGGGGACATAGGCTGAGATCTGGAACGTAAAATGCAAACTGATTATATCAAAGACCTTACATCACAAACTCCTGTTGTTAATCCAAGCCTGTGGATTCTTTTAGCATATACGCTAGTAATCGCCGCATCGCGCATTACTAATCGTGTAGTCGCGCATTACCTATTCGTCTAGTCTCACCTATTTAATTCTGGTCGTGTGTTCGACAGAACCTAAACGTAACTAAAGTGGGGGACGTCACTGCCTGGCAGGACAGTGATGGTGAATTTCAAACACCAGGCCCGAATATTTAACATTCTCGTCTATAGTTCTTACCGGTACCAATACAGTGACCTTTGGGTTGGCACTGCCAAACCGAATCGGCTGAGGAGATTTTGTTTAATAATAGTCCTTTCCTCTATTCAAACAGCCCTTTAAAATAGAGAAATAATACAATTGCATGGAGGAGTGCTACAACATGTTCGTAATATTTACGTCTATGGTTACATTAGAAAAGATGTCCAAGAAATGATAATTTGATTTTTTTTGGCTCGCTCGCCTATTCCGTTTTAGATAGAGGCATGGCAGCCTTATTGATCGGCATCGTCATTCGACATCATAGCCTTCCGCCACAATCTTTTTTGATCGCTGAAATTCTTTACAGCCGCATTCTGGTCGCGGTTGTTTGATCTACTTGGTACTCGGCTATTGATGTATACGGCCACCTATTCCGATACTGGTTGCTGTACTGAGAGTGTAAACTGCACTCTTAATGAAATGTTGTGGTACATTTTTACTTCCTTCACATTATGGAGTACGTTTCTGCCCATCGCCAAATTCATGTAAATCAACATTGTTCACGCGTCGATGGATTCGACACCATTTATCGTGGGTGGAGCGTCATCCTCGTAAGCCTCATCTCGTTATTCCTTTTAGTGTCTCTACTTCTGGTGGGGGTAACACAACGCATACTATGGCGTCGACGGATGATGCAGTACCCAACACTGCAATTGTTGCAAATTCGAGTTCCAGATGAAGCGGGTGCAAACCGATCTATTCCTTTGACGCCTGTCAGGCGTTTGTTTAGCGCAACTACGTTTGCTAAACCAAACTCACCGATTTTTCTTACTGCTTCGAGCACTTCGCAGTGGGTATGTGAGTCTATAATTGTATCAAGAGGGGGGCGTTATCCAGCTCGGTCGGTCTTCCAAACTGGCACATGTCTCCACGTCGCCAAGGGCCCGTCTCTCAGACTCGGCGGCCACAAAGGCATTTTTAACAAGGACGATTAGTTTTGCGATTTGTTCACAACTCTATCGCATCTTCTATCGACACACAGAAGGCAGCAGTAGATCGACGCGGCCGCAAGAACTATGAGAAGTTTGCTATCATTTACAAATTCTCTCTTTCCACCATAAGCAATTAATCTTCTTCGACAACGGACTTGGGTACAAGAAACCCAAATCCAAGGGATTTTTTACCTTTCAAGGCTGTGTAAAAAATAAACGACGCATATGCAATGGATCTGCTTACTAGAGTGCAGCTACACCAAACGCTTAACGTTGTTCGTCACACGTGTTATCACCCGGACCTCCTTCCGTCTATTTGTGCGAACCCGCAAAGACATACCGCGGCCCCCTATGAAAGGGCGTTCTCGGCGTATCTGGAGGACGAAGGCCACGCTTTCCATATTTTAAAGACAAATAACCTAGTTTAACTGTTCCAACTGCTTGCAAAGATGTGCGAGATCATCAGTGTAACGGGGCACCCCGACGCTTGTACTGATGACAGTACAAGCTACTTATTCTGATGACAGAATAAGGCGGAGCCTCGTAACTTCACTTACAATGGTACGTGCAGAGGAAGACGTTCAGGAGAAGCGAGTACTTGGTTAAAGTAAAAAGTAGAACTGTATTTATAATAGTTAATGTCTGCAATAAATTACTATTTACCTTCATCTAACTATGTCTAAATACAAATGTGTATATCAACTATCTGCTCACCACTCTTTGCGTACGTCTGTCGTGGCGCGTCTTCGTTGGTTGATATAATGGCCTATATCAACCAATTAGGAACTACTCGTAAGTGCTGCAGAATATTTGTCCTTATGACAATATTCTGAGAATATAACTCTTAGAGTTATATTCGATTGACAATTTCTTATAAATTGTTATGTAACGGTTCACCCCGTTACATCACCCACCCTGAACCATCGGTCACTTTCGTGACTGATTGATTAAATGGATACTAGTCCCTAATCATTTAAGACAGGGTTTGCACTTGTTGGTTCGAGTCCACAGTCCATCAGTTTCATCGCATGGATAACAAGTCCATGCGGTGCGCGAACAAGGCAGCTGAGAGCGCGTCTGCACGTCTCTGTGCGGACGCCGAAGCAGAAACCGCTGCAACCGATGTTTCATCGGTTGCTAGAGCGTCTCAGCCTGTATCACCTGGTGATGCAGACGCTCGTCATGAAGACACTCGTGTCTTCACCGAGTATTAGCTCGGTGTCTCATACTCTCCTGATACGGAAGACGTATCCGTATCGAAGGCGGTCGAAACCAAGCCGCCTGCCAAGCGTGGCATAGATGATGCTACGCGTCGTAGCATCTTTGGTTCGTCTGACGGATCAGACGAACCATCGCCAAAGCGAAGGCGCTCGAGATCGCAAGACTCGGGCGCTCACAGTGGCGTCGGTTCTCCTATTGACACCACTTCGCAACGAGGTGCCAGTCCTTCTGTCGGCACGTCGCAGGAAGAGCGGGACCGCAGTGTGTTGCGTCTCGCTCCTGAGAAGAAGGCATGGATGTCTCCCAAATCCATCATGGATTGCTTGTCGGCGACGAAAAGTAATCGCTATCAAACACAAGTGTTCGATTCGTCAAGGATCCATCACCTTGACCCCAGTGCGAAAGACTATCGCGCTGAACATGAGTTCTTCATCGATGCTTTCTTCAGACATCGATGGTACAGTGGGAATCACAAACGTGATGGTCCCTCACTGCTTCAATCGTGGAACGCCTACATCCATAACCTTGAGGATGTAGGTCGTGACGTTTGGAACGACAAACTTATCAAAGCTCGTGATAAGTTTGAAAAGCGAACCCCGACTGGTGTACGCTATAATCTGCATCGTCTGTCAAGGGAAAAAGGATTACCCTGCCTCTCTTCAGGAGACTCGTGCCCATGTTGTGTGAACAACTCTGCACGAGCACATAAGGAGGCTTACCTCCCTAATAGCCCATGGTGGCGCATACGTATCTCTAGTGAGATGTACGAAGGGATTGACAAACTGAGATCCCTTTACGACCGTGCCTGGAATACTTTTTCCTGCGGTACTTCTGCGGCACAGGATGTGCCGCGTCGTAATGCTCGACCAGACCCAGTACGTCGATCATCAGTTGGGAGCGGGGCTCCCAAGTATCCCAGGATGGGGGATAGCCACGTCGCGGTGGTTTAACAGCTGCTCAACCAGATAGCGCTGGCCACCGCGAGAGTCCTCTAATGGAGGTGGAGGAGGAGGGAAGACGCTCTCCACACAATGGTGAGGATGCGTGTGCTCCCGAGAGCTTCTTTGATCGCGTAACGCAAGGGTTACGCTGCGATCCCAAACATGAGCGGGACAGGCGTCTCCAACTGGCGGACAATGTCTCGAGGCATCGAGCTGAGTTTTCCTTTGCTCAGCTTGAGAACGAGAGAGCTTTGACATCTCTGAGTGACGAGCTAAGGGTAGCTCGTGTGAACATTGACCGGTATCGGGCTGAGATAACTGCTCTTCAGACCCTTGCAGATATCCACCATCGGGAGCACAAGGCTCTCTGCGAGATGCTTGAGCGGAAGGGCGTTCTTCATCGGAAGAAACAGCGTACTGATGGTACGGCTTAAGCCGACCAACGTAAAACGTGGGATGTTTTCGCATCTTATGTGGCAGTTCGATCGTGTATGCATTGCCTAGGCAATGCAATACACGAAATGGGCCGATGTACTTGGGTATTAGTTTACTGCTACCCAAGTTAGTCACTACATGCTTTGGTAGGTTAACCGTAGACAGTAGGACTAAGTAGCCTTTAATAAATAAAAGCGTGTTTGCCCTTCCATTCTTGTCTGCGTTTTGCTTTTGCTTATCACCGCTTCGGCGATGGAGTCTTGCACAAAACGGACTACCGTTTCACGAGCCAGTATGAACTCATCTGCTGGCTCGTTAGCTTCAGTGCGCTGTGAGTGCACTGCTGCAACATCAATCTTCTCTTCAGTGAGGGCTTCCGCGCTCTCACTGACATCATCTTCTTCGATATCGATGTTGTCGATATCGGCATCAAGCGCAATGACCTCATCGTCAGAGCGTGATGAGCGTGACCAAATCGGTTTTTGCTCGCGCGAGTCCCTCCCCCCCTTAAACCAGAGTTACACTCGAGTAAGGCGGGTACACGCAGGTGGCGCAAGCCATTCACGTAAAACGGTGTATGTGTCGTGGACGCATGCACCGAGTTGTTGATGGCAAACTCTATCATTGTCAAGGGATCACTCCAACTCTTAAAGGAGTGTACGTATCCTCGAAGTATCTCGTCGAGGACACGGTTGGCACGTTCCGTCTGACCATCTGACTCTAGATGATCAGATGTCGACATCTTTAAGCGCGTTACGAGTGATGTGAACACGGAGCGCCAGAATCAGCAGTGAATCGTGGATATCTGTCTGATACGAGTTCACAGGGCAACCGATGAAGTCGGAAGATGGTGTCGATAAAGACACAAGCACAGCCACTTGCCGTGATTGTCTCTGGTACAGCCACAAGGTGTACCATTTTGCTGAATCTGTCAACAAATACGAGAATACCCGTATTCCCGCGTGCGTCCTTGGGTAACCCAAAGACGAAGTCTATCGAGATGGATTTTCAGCACTCTGCCGGAACTGGTAGAGGCTGTAAAGGTGCACGCAGTGAGGACTAGACTTCTTTTGTTGGCAGACTTCGCATGCGCGAACATATTTCGCACAAACTGATACTGGCGGGACCAGTAAAAGTCTCGACTCACCGTGAGATATGTTTTCTCCCGGCCACGATGTCCTCCTATAGGAGCATCGTGATACTCGAACATGATCCGCAAACGCAGATCAGTATCATCTGGAATGACAACACGTGGTGTTTCGCCAGAAACGGCTGTATAATACAGTAAACCGTTACGAGTAGTGTATCAATCTGATGCAGATCGATACGCTGACGACAATCGTTTCAACGATTCTCGGGATGGTTGGGAGAGATGTGTCAACAACTTCACAATCTCACCATCTTGGGCGTATGCCCGCCTCACATCATCATAAAACGTTGTAGATGGGACTGAGGACGTCATAACCGCAACAGTGACTGTCTCACTGTTGGGTTTCACGACTGGTTCAAAGTCGGGACGACGTGAGAGTGCATCAGCGACGACATTAAGTCGTCCTGGTTTGTACTCGACCGTAAAGTTGTATCCTGCAAATAATGACAATCACCGCGCCATTCGTTGTGAAAGGTGCGGGCTGTTCACTGCCGTGCGTAATGACGCATGGTCAGTGTAAACAATGAAGGGTCTATCTCCTAATAGATAGACTCTGAACTTCGCGAGTGCATACTTCATGGCAAGGAGTTCCTTGTCATGCACTGGATAGTTCCGCTCAGCTGGTTGCAGCTGACGCGACTGATAGCAGACGACGCGTTCAACGCCTTCAAGATCGTACTGCATTAATGCACAGCCGATTGCAAAATCGCTGGCATCACAGACCACATAAAATGGCCTGTCGTGACCGGCTATTGCTAGGACTGGGGATCGTATCAAGCTCTGCTTGATACCATCAATGGAGCGCTGAAATTCAGTGTTCCATAACCACCTCTCGTTCTTTTTCAACAAACGAGAGAGGTTCACAGTCATCTCGGCGTAATTGCGTGAATACTTATGGAAATACGCCGCTAGCCCAAGGAATTTTCGAAGACCTTTGACATCGACCGGCACAGGCCAGTCGGTGATCGCCTTGATCTTTTCGGGATCAGGACGTACACCGTTCTTACCAACGATGCACCCAAGAAGTGGTATTTCGCTTGCGGCAAATATACACTTCTTGAGGTTTGCATACAATTGATGCTTTCGCATGATTGTAAGAACCTGTCAGACGTGGTACCTGTGAACCTCAACGTCCGACTTCCATCCATAGCTTGACTATGGATGAATACGTCATCGAAATAACTCGGCGCGAATTCTCGTACTGGTCTCAACAGATGTGATACACATCTGTTGAACGTGGCAGGGGCATTACTTAGCCTTCGTGGCATTACTAGCCATTCCCAGAGCATGCCGCTAGGCGTGCTAACTGCGGTATAGGGTATATCCCGTTCTCGCATAAGGATTTGATAGAAGCCATCCATCAAATCCATGGACGAAAAGATGGTACTCTTTGACATACCATCAATGATTACGTCCTTCCTTGGTATCGGCGTCTGAGCCGGTACCGTTGCAGCATTCAACTTGTTAAATGCATGCACTATCCGCCACCCTCCTGCTGCTTTTCGCACACAGAAGGTCGGAGAGCTATGTGGGGAAGTTGATTCCCTCACATGGCCCGCAGCTAAACGATCGGCAAAGAACTTGTCGATCGCAAGTACTTGTTCACGAGGCAGTGGCCACTGCTTCATGACACAGTACTTCGAGCCTGGTTTAAGCTCGACCTCGTGTCGAATACATTTATCCTTCGGTAACTCGCACGAAACAGTTTCAGGGAATACATCCTTGAATTCAACCAAATCTTCATAGAGAGGATTTGTCTTGAGCAATTCCCACGATTAGAGGTCATATCGCTCAGCTCGTGTCTTTTCATCTAGGACACTCTCGTCCATAGATGAACTACTGAGAACTCTCTCGTTCTCAATGGACACTTTTGCTGACCTTATGTCGGCTACACACTCGTCGTCAGCGACGAGTACGCAGATCTGCTTGACTTTGCCACTACGCAGATCACGCAAGAACCTTTTATGTTCGAGCGTTGGCAACTGAGTGATCTCCGAAGTCAACTTCGGAGGCGCAATCAGATCAAGTGTATAAGCGCATACGCTTGATCCGTTATTGACTAGGCCATTCAGTGTCTCTGTCATTTCCTGGGGACTTATTCCCTCAGGCCTCGAAGGACTTATTCCTTCGGCTTTTCGGGGACTTATTCCCGCGGGTTTCGGGGGACTTATTTCCGCCGTATTTGTAATATCGGGACTTATTCCCTTAAATTCCTCTAGCTGGGGTTGCGCAACCACAGCGAGATCCTCTACGAAAGACTCTCCAGTCAATCTAGGATTATCGTTTCGCTTAACCTGAGCGATCGATTGTTTCTCTTCTAGATGTTCCCCGCTAGGGATACATCTTTGTCCCGATCCACTCGGTTTATTCAAGTGGTGGACCTTCGGCGCAGCCTGTGTTTCCTCACAGCCGCCGGAACTTTGCTCCGAAGTGTAACTGTTTGTTACACTAAGGTTTTGTGCAGTCGTACTAATGACCGTACCACAAGTGAGGCCATCTCACTCACTCGTAGTACATCCACACGCTTGTGGACGCTCCAAAACGTTCACCAGATGGCCATCTGATGAACAAGCGGCAGGCATCGTTACTGTCCGATGTTGCCAGTTTACCCGTGGTTCGTACCTTCTGAGCCACGGTATTCCAAGGATGACATCAAATTTGTCATCCAAATCCAATACGATAAAGTCATCGTCATATTGGGCATCTTCTCGCGTATAGTGGATCTTCACTATACGCTTCATGACGGTTACGGATGCGCCTGTCGCAAGACGTACCGTCATCCTCGTAGGAGGTGTGTCACATTCACTGAATTTAAAGTGACCATCTTCTAGCGATTGGCGTTGCACAAAATTGTTGGACGCCCCACAATCGACTAGAGCTCGAAGGGACAACTTATTCGTCACTTCGAGTTTCAAGGTAATACGTGAGACCTCATTACCTAGAGCAGCAACGCACAACGTTTGTGTGTTGGGAGCAACCTTCATCAAGAGGCCTACAAATTCTCTTGACGTTGCTGGACCAGTAGGGTGCTCCGCACCTACTGATCCTGTCCGTTTTTTGACGGTCCATCCCGTTGTTGCGTCTTTGCACCAACAGCGGACCCGCGTCCCTGCCCCTTTCTCATGGGTGGACGGTCATTACGCCCAGTGTTGCGAGACACTGGACGAGGGGCACTACACTCGTAAGCGTAGTGTCCTGTCTTCTGACATATGTTGCATTTCTGCAGCTTCTTGTAGTCTGTAGAGCGAGCCTTCTCGCTATCTACATAACAGAGTTCCATCGGCTCTGGACTTCCGCTGTCATATCGTCTCGGTTGACGATATGATGTCGAGCTGGCGCGAGCCTGTCTCAGACTGAAGTCTTCCTGTTCCACAATGGAAATGGCTTGTTCTAGTGAATCTTATTCAAGCCGGAACAGGTGAGTCTTGACGGGACCATCCGCAAGACCCTGCATGAACACCGAAACCAACGTGTGTTCATCAACCGGGTTGGAACTTATACAACTCGTGAGATGTCGTATATGTTGTGCGTAAGCGTGCACATCACGCTTACCTTGTTTGAACTTCAAGAGTATAGTTCTGGCTCTGAACTCAGCTCTAGGCGGTTCAAACGTTTGTCTGAGCCGCGACTTGAAGACTTCCAACTACCCAAACGCATATGGGTCGTGCAACTTGATCCCCAGTGCCCAAGTCTTGGCACGTCCTGCCAGATTTGACTGGGCAAATGCAACTTGCATATCCCCGTCGTCGATGCGACGCGCCCTTATGGCTTCATCCAATTCGACGACCCATCTCAAGACGGGGGTCCTCTTCGACTCCCCTATACTTTGAGATGTCAATCTTCAAGGTC